GCGTAGTCTTAATTAGGTTTTAGTACAGGTTTTTATGTGGGGTATTTTAGAGCAGGCCTTTATTTATTTAATTTGATTTTAGAATAGATATTTATTGTGATTTTTATTATCGCCTGTTCACCGCCCTGAGTCCCGTAAGGGAGATAGGGCGGTATATAAATTTAAATAAACATAAACAGCTTAGGAATTTGTTTGCAAGCCTGCTGATTATCCAGAAAAAGAACTGCAGCAGGAAGTGTCTTGTAGGACAGGGGTCCCCAATCCCTGGTCCATGGACTGGCAGCAGTCTGCGGTGGGCTAGAAACCGGCTGCACAAAGAGGCTATAAGCCCCATTTGCGGGATGCAGACAGTGTGTAAAGTCACACATCCTCCAGTCCGTGGAAAAATCTCTCTCCCTCATGCCAGAAAAGGTGGGGGCCACCACTGTAGAAAGGAAGCATTTAGCATTCTGAGAAGGGCAGCTGTTTTCCAAAAGCATTTGTAGTTGTGAAAGGGTCTGGGACTTCTGTACTCAATTGTGCTTAAAGCTTAAAGCTAACAGGGGGCCGATCACACCTTGGGGTGAGAGGCGGGAAAAAAAAAGAAATAGAATTGGACTGAAATTCAGGATTTCACTTCTAAAGAGGTAGCTGGCAAATCTTGGGAGTTACTTGCTGTTCCCTTTAACAGTCCATTAACAGCCACGGACTGATGGCCACTGCATGGGGCACTTGGTGGGCAAATACAGGAAGTCCTTACGACCACAACTGAGCTGAAAATTTCTGTTGCTAAGCCAGAAAGTGAGTTTTGCTCCATTTTATGACCTTTCTTGCCACAGTTGTTAAATGAATCTCTGTAGAATCTTCCTGACAGTTAGAACAATTAATCAGTGGAATGGTTTGACTCCAGAAGTTGTAAGTGCTTCAACACTGGAGATTTTTAAGATATTGGACAACCATTTGTCCGAAACGGTATAGGGTTTCCTGCCAGAGCACGGGATTGGACTAGAAGACCTTCAAGGTCCCTTCCGACTCTGTTATTCTTTGGACAGAGAGAAAAGGACCACAGGGATAGCCTATTTTATTTACAGGCAGTCCTCAACTTATGACCAAAACTGAGCCCAAAATATCTGTGCTAAGCGAGACAGCTGTTAAGTGAGTTTTGCCCCATTTTATGACCTTTTTGCCACAGTTGTTAAATGAATCTCTGTAGTTGTCAAATTAGTAGCATGGTTGTTAAGTGAATCTGGTTTCCCCATTGACTCAGCTTGTCTGAACCCAAAAGATGATCACATGATCCCAGGACACTGCAACCATCATAAATATGATCCAGTTGACTGAATTTTGATCACGTGACCATGGGGGACGCTGCAATGGCCAATAAGTATGAAGAACGATCCTAAGTCACTTTTTTCAGTGTCTTTGTAGTTTCAAACGGTCACTAAAGGAACAATTATAAGTCGAGGACTACCTGTATTAGAGGTAGAAATCATAAACAGCATTGGCAAAAGGCTACAAAATGCCCGTGAGATTTCTACAAAACGGTCCAGTACTCAAATAGAAGATTAGTACACATTAGTTCCTGACTGCAGTAATTAGTGATAAGACAGGTCTTCTAGCTTTGACAATCTTTTAACGTATTTTGATCTTTCCCCCCCCTTTGTGCTGCTTTAATATGTCAGCAGAAAAATAGATGAGGCTTTAAATAGGAGTTCCACATCCCTTCCACTGAGTTAGCTCTCTGTAATAAAATGGGGGGGGCGGGGTAGTCTGTAAAAAGAAACTCCCATATTTAAAAAAATATATGATGCTTGCTTTAATCCCGTTATTATTACTATTAATGCTTTCAGTTGCCAGAAGCTGCCTTAAGAATCATATTTGGAGGTGGGCTGTTTGGATTCACATTTGAAACTATATGTATAATTTTAATTTTTTATTTTAATTTTTGAGAAAATGCTTTTGTAACTGGGGGGATTTTTTTTTAGGGCTTGCATGTATTCATGCCTACATATATATAAAAGGGTTAAGGGCTAAGTTTAAATAACCTACTAATTGACAGAACATCCACCTCATGTGTGAAGAAGATTCTAATTTAGTATCTAGCTTCCCCAGAGAAGGAAAAAGAAGAAACAGATGGAAATTGTATTTCTTGCTCCAAAGAAATTCCCTTCTAGTCCTTTATGTAGAACAGGTGGGCGACAGACTTGCAAGAAATCTGAGTATTAATTGTTATAATTAGATATAATTAGATCATGAATTTGTTATACCAAAGTTGTTGAATTCTTTCATGACGGCTCCATAGTTTAGCTGCAATAAACCTACTAATCTTAAATTTTGTATTACAGCTTAATATATGTTGTACATGTAGTCCTCGACTTATAACCATAATTGAGCCCAAAATTTCTGTTGCTAAGCGAGACAGTTAAGTGAGTTTTCCCCATTTTACAACCTCTCTTGCCGCAGTTGTTAAGTGAATCACTGCAGTTGTTAACTTCATAGCATGGTTATTAAATGAAGCTGGCTTCCTCATTGACATTGTTTGTCAAACGGTCACGACCCCAGGACACTGCGACCGTCATAAATATAAGTCAGTTGCTAGGTGTCTGAATCTGGATCATGTGACCACGAGGATGCTACAATGGTCATAAGTGTGTAAAACAGTCATAAGTCACTTTTCTTAGTGCTGTTGTAACTTTGAATTGTTATTAAACTAACTGTTGTAAGTCAAGGATTACCTGTAGTCACTTTAATAGAGTGTTTTGTCGTAATAGCTGAAAAGCCTGACAATATTGGGGGTAAACAGATCAAAGGTATTAACTGATTTAGTATTAACTGACTTCCTGTATTCCTGTTTAACTTCAAGAAACTTAGATCTTTTCCTAGGAATCTTTAATCACTAACAATTTGGAGGAAATTCAATTATGTTCTTATATTGGAAAGTGCATTATAGTGTAAAAAGATTCATCAACGTTTCCCCATTCTTTTCACTTTCATAGAGCTACGTCCCTAAATTCATGTATTATTTTGACTTGTTTGCCCTCCATCTCGATATTTAAAATGTGTAAAATATGGATTTATCAGGTTATAAGTAGATTGTAGATGCTTAGAGCCTCTTTAACATCACATTGCCTTAGACATGTTCCCTGTATAACAGGAGAATTTTGAAACAGTGGTGTGTTTTTTTTTTTGTTTGCTCACCAGCCTGTGATCTCAGGCAGATCGCGGATGAGAGCTGGAAAAAGTTAATTCCTTTTGGTTGCTTGGTAAGATTCCCATTTACAATAAGATTACGTTGATCCAAAAATCTTTTCCAATCACATTGCCTCATTCCTGCTGCAAGGCCAAGACTTAAGTGCTGGTTTTTGTGTCTTTGTATACATGACTAGTTTGCACTTTCATTATCCTGGGATTTTCTACGTATTTAATGTTCTTCAGTAAGAAATTCAATACAGTTAGTCCTCGACGTACGACCACAATTGAGCCCAAAATTTTCATTGCTAATCAAAAGAGTTGTTAAATGAGTTTTGCCCTATTTTATGACCTTTTTTGCCCGGTTGTTCAGTGAATCACTGCAATTGTTACATTAGTAACACGGTTATTAAGTGAATCTGGATTCCTCACTGACTTTTGTTTGTCAGAAAGTCACAAACGGTGATCATATGACCCCATGTCATAAATACATGCCAGTTGCCAATTTCAATCATGTGACCATGGAGAGGTTGCAACTGTCGTAAATGTGAAAAATGGTCATAAATCACTGATTGTAACTTCGAACGGTCACTAAATAAATGGTTATAAGTTGAGGACTACCTGTGATGTTGGGTAAGCAGGTAAGAAGGTAAGCAGGTAAGAAGGTAAGATCAGCACTACTGATCTTCCTTCTGCTTATCTGCAGGAAAATTATGTGAGTAATTCATGGTGGCCAATTAAACAAATCTTTGCCTTAGACAGGGGTAGGCCACCTTGGCTCTTTTATGACTCGTGGACTTCAACTCCCAGAATTCCTGAGCCAGTATGGCTCAGCATGGAAACCTCTCCATTTCTCCTCAGCATGGCTGGCTCAGGAATTCTGGGAGTTGAAGTCCACGAGTCATAAAAGAGACAAAATGGCCTACCCCTGGCCTAAAGAGAATCCTTTAAAAATTCTGTGCAATTGCCTTGAGGATCATCATGGAAGAAAATGGAATATCGGAATACAAAAAATGACTCTGTTTTAAATAGATGAAAGACACGATGGTTTGCATGAGCTAATCCAGCAGCCAAAACATAGATCAGAAATGTCCATAATGCACAAATATTTTAGCAGCAGACCTGCAGGAAATCAGTACAGGTGAGAATTGCCAAGACAGAAAAGCCGTTTACCCAATTCTGGTAATCAGCACATCAGCTTTAAGATAACAGAATAACAGAGTTGTAAATCACCTTAGAGGTCATCTAGTCCAATTCCTGCATGAGTAGGAGACCCTATACTAGGGGTAGGCAACCTTGGCTCTTTTATGACTCGTGGACTTCAATTCCCAGAATTCCTGAGCCAGCCATACTGAGGGGAAAGGGAGAGGTTTCCAAGCTGAGCCATGCTGGCTCAAGAATTCTGGGAATTGAAGTCCACAAGTCATAAAAGGGCCAAGGTTGCCTACCCCTGCCCTATACCATTTCTAGACAAGCCTGAGCCATTTTAAGACAGTCCCTAGCTATGTGTGCCTTGCTGAGTGTTTCCAAACAATTTTGGTTTAATTCAACAGATTTGTAAGAAAATTGACCAGACTAGGTAAAAATTTCATACTTTGGAATGTTAGGCTACTGATCGCTTTTTTAATTTTTTTTTAAAAAAACACTTTCATACAAACCAGGTAAGAAGCCCTGATAATGACATATCTGGTCTCAGCCTCAAGTGACTATTTTTTTCCCTGTCCTCCCCTTCCCTTCTTTCTCTTCTTTTCTTTCTTTTGCTGTCCTTGTTTTGCTGTCATGGTCTTCTTCTTCTTCTTCTTCTTCTTGTCTGAAACTTTCCTTGTTTACAGATACATAACAGAATTTGTGGACCTGGGCAATGTCTCAGCCTTACGAACATTCAGAGTTCTCCGGGCGCTGAAAACAATCTCAGTCATTTCAGGTGAAACAAAAATTATAATGGGGGTTAAGCACTTGGGACGCACCCAGTAAAGCTTATGTGCCATTCCCCCATAGCAAAATGGCCGCCGGTAGAATATGGTTTGGTATGGATGAGTAAAGGGAATAGAGGAACCTGTCAATAGAATGCTTTTTGATATGGCCTTAATCCATTCCCTCATACTTTATTTTGTGGTGAGCATCAAACGTTCTTTGTGGATCTAAAATATCTGGGTGGAATTTTTTTGTGTTTGTGCCTTCAGGTCAGTCTTGACTCATGACTATGCAAGCATGTCCATGTTGTTTTCTAAGCAATGTTTTCCAAAGTGATTTGCTATTGTCTCCTTCCTAGGGCTGAGAGAGAAGGACTGGCCCTACAATGCCAAAATGGCTTTTAGGCCTAAGGCAGAATTAGAATTCAGGATCTCCCAGCTTCCGTCTAGGATCTTCCTCACTGCACCACATTGGCTCTTGAGCTGACAGGGTAGGTCAGGTCTAGAGCAGGGGTCTTCAAACTTGGCCCTTTTATGACTTGTAGACTTTAACTCCCAGAATTCCTCAGCCAGGCACGCTCGCTGAGGAATTCTGGGAGTTGAAGTCTACAAGTCATAAAAGGGCCAAGTTTGAAGACCCCTGCTCTAGAGTCTCTGAGTAGTTCTGTGAATGAGGAAAATTTACAACCTGGTTCTCCTCAGATCTTTCTCAGACATCTCCACCAAGAGAGAGTGACTGGTCAAGTCACTGAGTTGACTTCTGGTTCTGAGGCATGACTCAAACTCAGGTTTTCATACTTCTAATCCATGGGACTCCAAATCTGGCAACTTTAAGACTTGTTGACTTCATCTTCCAGAATTCCTCAGCCACCAAGCTGGCTGAGGAATTCTGGAGTTGAAGTCAACAAGTCTTAAATTTGTCAAGCTTGGAGAGCCCTGTTATAAACCCAACACCTTAAACTAATAGCTCAAATTGGCTCTCAGAAGTATGACTTGCAAAGATCCCCCACCCCTACTCAATCTAATATTTTAAACCTTTAACTTGTTAGAAAAATAGAACAAAAATACTAAACTAGGCCCAATCCATTGAAAAAAATCTTTTGCATGAAAATGTTTTGGAGGTAAATTGCAAAAATATGACACTCCCCTTGGAAAAAGTAAGATCCTTCAATAAAATTAATTTTAGACTAAAGACTATTTATATTTACAAATACTTGTATTTATATAAAAATGCTTTTTATAGCTGAAAAAAAACCCCCTTCAGAATGACGAATCGAGTTTTGTTTTCTCATTTTGTTGACTGCCAGATGTGTTAGACTACAACCTCCATCCTCACTTGTGAGGATGGGAATTGAAGTCCGACATTGTTGGAAGGCTGGATTCATCTTTCTTCAGTATCATTAGGCCTAGCAATTTAAATCTGAGTCAACTGAATTTGGGCACAATTCTCAAGTCCTTTTTTCCCCTCAGAAACCCCACTGAGACAAATAGTGCAGCCTTCTTATGAAACGTCCTTTAATTTCCAATGGTGCCAGCTCCTCTCTTTGACATCCTCCCACATTGCCTTATTTTAGTCAAAAATGAAGGCAATTCCTTTTTTCCTCTCCCCTTCTTATGAAACTTAGTAATGGATGTATTCATGTTCCTCTTTCCCCCTTTAAATTGGCAGTGGAATGATGGAGAAAAATAAATATGCCAGGAGCGTATCTATGGACAGGTCTCCTTAGTGTTAAGTTCTTTCAACTGCATGGCAGGTAGAGAAGAATGTCAAAACAACCAACCGTGTGCATGACAGATTTTGTGTACAGATAGGTCCTCGACTTACAACCACAATTCAGTTCACAATTTTCATTGCTGAGCAAGACAGTTAAGTGAGGTTTGCCCCATTTTATGACCTTTCTTGCCACAGTTGTTAAGTGCATCACTGCAGTTGTTAAGTTAGTAACACGGTTATTAAAGGAATCTGGCTTCCCCATTGAATTTGCTTGTCGGAAGGTCACAAATGGTGATCACATGATCCCGGGGCAGCTAACCATCATAAATACATGCCAGTTGCCAAGCAACTGAATTTTAATCACATGACCATGAGGATGCTGCAACGGTCATAAGTGTGAAAAAATAGTCTCATAATTCACTTTTTCAATTCACTCAACGAATGGCTGTAAGTCGAAAACTACCTGTAGATGGTTATCCTGAACAGATGTTGGCAATTATAGGATAAAAAAGAGATTGTTTAATTTTTTATTTTATCTTATTTTATTTTAGAGAGAGAAGGATGAGAGACAAGGGTTGGCAGAACCAACACCCTTTAGGAGCTGCCACTAAATTAGGTGGCAAATATTCACACTGCAGCATTCTCCACTGAAACTAAAGCAATGGCACTTGTTTTGAGGCACCTGTGAAGCATTGAAGGGATAAATGTCCTATTTTCCAGAAGGCAAATGAAAATCCATGGGAGGAAAATGCAATTTTATTTTAATGGATCTGGATTTCCTCCTCCTTGCCTTCCCTGATCCCATACTGCAGTGGTGGCGAACCTATGGCACGCGTGCCAGAGGCGGCACTCAGAGCCCTCTCTGTGGGCACCCGTGCCATGCCCCGGAGATGGCAACTGTCCTCTTCAACCAGCCGCCTGCTAAATTGCTGAGGTCCCACGTGGCTGGATGCATCCCAGCATCCATGCACTTGCTGGCTTCTGGGTGTGGGGGCTGATGGTGCCAGGGCCCTGCCTCACCCTGCAACAATAGCACCCTCGCCCTGACTTGCCTTGCCTCGCCTCACCCCACAGGACCAGCCTCCTGCCCACTGCCCCACCCGTCAGAGACCCCCTGGATCTCCCCCAACCCTGCCTGGCCCCCACGGGTGTCTCTCCCCAGGAGCAATATCGAGTTGGTTACGCCCACCCATCTGGCAGGCCACACCCACCCGGCGGCCATACCCACCCGGCGATACATAAGTGGGTTTTGGGTTGAAGTTTGGGCACTCGGTCTCTAAAACGTTCTCTATCACTGCCATACTGAATTGTACAAAAGCTAATGGCGAGTTGTAGACAATGAAATACTTTTGGCTTTGCAAAACACGTAGCAGGAAGGAGATTGCTCAGCTGTCAGGTAAAAGAAAAAGGAAAGATTTTCCCCTGTCCAGTCGTGTCCAACTCTAGGGGGCGGTATTCATCTCCGTTTCCTAGCCAAGGAAGCCAGCATTGGCCGAAGACATTTCCGTGGTCATGTGGCTAGCATGACACTACGCCGAGGCGCATTGAATGCTGTTACCTTCCCACCGAAGTGGTACCTATTTATCTATTCGCATTTGCATGCTTTTGAACCGCTAGGTGGATAGGAGCTGGGGTGAGGATGGGAGCTCACCTCATCACGCGGTGCCGGGGTCTTGAACTGCCAATCTTCCGGTCGACAAGCCCGATGTCTTAACCGATAGTACAATAAACTGTGTACCCACTTGTTTATGTATAGAAAGATAAAGACTTTTTCAAGTGGTGCTCAGGTCTTAGCCATTATATGTCCTGGCTGTGTAGATTTTTTTTCTTGCAACAATAATGGTGGCTTGTTGTTGGTTTCTGGGATGTTTTTTCAAATTCCCAATCTAGGCTATAAGCTTGATATTTCCTGTTGGTCTTTCATCACGATACTAAATGGTCCAGACTTGCTTAGTCTTTTTCAAGAATAGTCAAAATATAAAAATGTTGCCGTGTTTTGCTAGTACCAGTGAGCTCCAGTAGAAGGGAATGTTGTAGCTGAGGATTGAACTGTGGAGTCTTTGGTGCCCTCTGACCTTAGTTGTTTCCTTGCAGATGTTTCCTTCTTTTCACATCATGATGAGGTTACCTAGTTGGGTGATGAAAGGTCTGCAAAAAAACAACCAAGCTCAGAGAACACCAAGGACCCCATACCATTGAGCTCTTTAAGCAGTGCTCATTTCCTTGATGAGATCAGAGTTTGTAGATCATAGAATTATAGAACTGGAAGAGATTTTGGAGGTCTTCTAGTCCCAACCTCTGCCCGTGCCAGGAGTCCTTATTCCATCCTGGACAAATAATTGACCAGTCTTTTCTTGAAATTCTCCAGTGATTGAGTACCCAAATTCTGGGAGGCAACCTATTCCCCTGATTTTTTTTAAAATTGGATGTACAAGTACTCCTTGACTTACGATCACAATTGAGCTCAAAAATTCTGCCTCTAAATGAGACAGTTGTTAAGTGAATTTTGCCCCGTGTTACAACTTTTCTTGCCGCAGATGTTAAGTTACTAACAGGGTTGTTAGCAACACATCTCCTGCTTGAGCAGGGAATTGGACTAGAAGACCTCCAAAGTCCCTTCCAGCTCTATTCTAATTGATTGATTAATTGATTGATTGATTGTTAAATAAAGCTGACTTCCCTATTGATTTTGCTGGTCAGAAGGTTGCAAAAGATTATCACATGACCCCAGGATACTGCAACTATCATAAATATGAGTCATATGCCGTCTGAATTTTGATCACGTGAACATGGGGATGCTGCAATGATCATAAGTGTGAAATGTTCATGTCACTTTTTTCAGTGCCGTTGTAACTTTGAATGGTCACTAAATGAACTGTTGTAAGTCAAGGACTACCTGTATTCTTCCCAAAGAGTATATCAGCTCCATTTTTTTTTACTTTGATGAGAGATCGCCAAATCCATTTGAGAATTCAGACTGAAGGGAAATCAACAGTTAAGACTTTGTGAAATATGGAAGCTGACTGACTCACACATATCCAGATATATTTCAGTATTACCAATCATAATGTAATTTCTTGGGCTTTCCCTAAATATACCCTTGGGGGCTAGAATCCTGGACTGTCACTTCACTTTTCATTTGAGTTTTTAAAGATGTTCCTCAAACAAAGATGTTTGAGGACTTTTTAAAGATGTTCCTCAAACAAAGCACTAACCAGATGAGGATCCATGTGTGAAGGGTTCCACATTTTAGATTTGTGGCTGTGCTCTCTAATGTGGAATCATTTAAGACTGTAG